TCCTCAACAGATTGGAAACATTGACTATGTCAGTTCTATTTCTGAACCCAAAAAGTCAGCCAGACTTGCTCTCTTCTCAGAGTTTGACACTGACCTTCCACAGGTATGAAAAAATGGGTGTTGTGTGAAAAGATCATCTTATGCAAACATGGCAGTGGGTGTGGGCTAATATGAACTTCTGGGAGATGTTCATGCCAAGTTCCATGTTCCCAAACACACTTCTCATTTTTGGGGGGTTGGGATATAATAATTGTATTTAAGAAATAGAAAATATATACTGTATTTCTATTGAGTTGTAAAAACACAGTCAAGTGGAAGTTAGGAAGGGCAAGAAATGCTGTGGGAACACAAACCAACAAACGAGTGCTTCCACACCTTTTTTTAGTTCTCCCAAACTTCAATGAGGGCTCTAATAACTTGATAGAAACATGGACAACATGCTTTCTTTTTCTGAGAAAATTCTGTGATGAGAAAAGAAAACAACTTGTTTACTTTGATTATCAAAATGTAAATTATCTTTGCTCGCACCATCATTATGTCAACAGCTTGTGCTAGTTCTGTGTTTCCATCAAGTTTTATATGATAACCCAAATTATTCTCGCATTTTGATTGGTTCTCGCCTATGATCTATTGAAAGACAGACACATGATTGACATCATCATTACAAAGTTTTTCCCTCTGTTTTTTTAAAATGGCGGAAATTTTTAAGAATTTGAAAAAATATTTTGTGACTGGATGAAAGACAAGGTACAAAAAAGTCTCATCTAGGCATTGAACAGGTACAAGAAGCAGGAAGAAGAAAGAAAAAGCTGTTTCGTTTTTAGCAAATGACTAAAAAAAATCCTTGAGGAGTCTCAGTTGGCAGTTGAGCGAGACTAAACCAAACTCAAAATTGGTCTTGAAATTACTCTAAGGTAAGAATCCATTGCTTTGTCTTGAATTTAACAAGCCAAATAAACAAAATGTTTATGAGATTAATCTATTTAAAAACTTCAACTTTTCTCAGTCTCAAAATAATTGTTGGCACAGATTGATGTCAGGAATGAAACATCAAAGCATCACTTCTTAAAATGTGTTAAAATAAATACATAACCTTTTTTTCCAACGCAAAATGTTCAAGTCTGTTTCAGGGCACAGCCGCAAGCAAAGTATAGCTCACTACAGCTCATGGCCAACTGTATCACAGCTATAAGGTGTTTCAGACACTATATCAAACTGATTTGAGAATCACCAACCACAGATGACACAAATTTCCATTATCACTAACGCTCCTTTCATTCAAAACTCGAATCGAATGGCCTCCAGTGTTGACCGCAAGCACTAGGTTTCCAAGCGTATTTTTTCAACTCCTCCAATATTCAAGGTAACATCAAAGCTTTTCAGCTCGCAGGGCTGCTTTGATGACAAAAACGGACTTGATACATGCATTTCCAGC